CCAGACTTGGGTCGATTTGGGAAGAAGTTTTGGATTAGGAGAAGAGAAGGAAGAGAAGATTGGCGTAAGGTATTTATTATACGGAGGCGACGTGTGCAGTGGGAACGAATTGTTGGGACGGTAACAAACGCGAAAATGTGGGAACGCGCGTTATGTGCAAACGCTCCGAGCATTCTTCTTCACCTTCTTTGTTTCGTGGTTCTACCAGTATTTATGGATATGGTACCAAAAATTAATCGAAAATATATTAGCCTTTTAAAAAAAAAAAAACTTTTTCAAAATATATGTGTATGAGAGTCTGTTTTACAGGCCCACGACCTTTCATATTGCCTACGGAAAGTGTAATTGTATTCGGTAAAAACAAACTCTTTTGTTTATGGAAATTTTGATCCAATCTGAAATTCTTCTGTGTATTTCACATTTTTTTTGTCTGCATTTCCATATAATAGTTGTTCCATGGAACCTATCCCGTCAATAGGCAGTCTAGTCAAGTCTCGAGGGATGGCTAGTACAAAAGCTCCTCAACAATCTTGAGGAGATCCGAGCAGACGGTCTCAAAATTGACCAAAAGAATCAATCTTTCATTTAGGCACGTTACGGCCTATTAGAATCGATCTAGCGCTTTTTCGACATGCTTAAGTTCCGAAACAGCCGTGTCCACAATTTCAAGTTTTACTTGTGTATCAGTTCGGATACATTATTAGTTTTGTTTAAGGGATAAAATAAATAATCTAAAGAGTTGGCTTAATATAACTATCAAGAATTGCACAATTTGCCTAGAAAGGAAAAAAAACGAAGACAAAAGTTCTGGTGTGGATGATATTTCCGGTTCCATCATCTTTGAATTCGATGGAATGCAAATGTAAAGAGTACATACAATTACAAATCATAATTCTTTTTGTCAAATACCATATATCCAGAGCCGGATCTAAGATTTTCGAAGCCCCGTAAAAAACAAAAAAATTATTAACATTTTTTTAAAAATGATTTTTAACAACAATAAATAATTAAACTTTTTACTTTTTAATCATACGACTTCATAAAATACAAGATTCTACGGAAAAAATGGGCTTCTTATTTCACTAAATCTTCATTTTTATTAATCAAATAACATATTTTAAACAAACTAATATATATATTTAATTTTTTAAAAATAAGTGGAATTTTTTTGAAGTGGATACTCTATTCAAATGTTTCAAAACACTCCCTTCGAATCCGGCTCTACATATATCAATCTGGTCACGCAACGGTACTAGATAACATGTGTTCCTTTCACATGATAAAGATTTATTGTTTGTGAACATGATACATAGCATATGGTTTTTTATTTTTATTTTTGCTAAAGAATATATACTCG